TGATTCTGCTTCTAAAATGAGGTATCTTCCACTAGTTGCAGCTGCTTTTCCTTGTTGTAAGATGTCAGAAAGCTTCTTTACTAGAGAATGGATGAAATAATCTAGAAGTATTTGGTTTTTAGTGAAGAAGCATACTTTCTGTAGCTTGGTTTTTATTTATTCCAGTTTTGTTATTGTTAACGTAGTCCTTACATTCCTAAGACAGAGATCTCCTGCATGTACGTGTTTCTGTTTTGGGAAGGGAAAAGAGGAGATGAAGTGTGCTTTTGTACCTTGTTTTTATTTTGTTTGCTGTTGGGTAGCTGAAAAATAAATGCTTGTTAATAGTTATAACATAGCCCCTTGGGCATTTCAGGCTATTATTGTATATTAGTACTGCCCTTCAATGCAGCATTATAATTCTCCATCTGCTCCCACTCTCCCACACAGACATGTGCCTTCCTTGTCTTCTCAGATCCAAACAGGAATTAAAGATCCTGGAAGAGGAAAGGGAGTTCACTGTCTTCCAGAAGAGATTTGCCACTCTGCTGTCACCAGGTTTGTTAGTTTACTGTAAACCTACGAAGTGCAGAATTTCCAATATAATATAAAAAATGCTTCTTTCATTTTTGTTTCCTTTCTGCACTTGAAAAGTGGATTTTATTTAGTGTATTTAGGTCTTTTCCCACTAAGATTATGAAGCCTAATTTGAGCCTGTTACTCTTTTCCCCAGTAATCCGTAGAAAAGCACAGCTGCCCTACTAAAAACATACTGTTTATCCACGAGCTCTCATCTGAGCAGTCCGCAGTGTTCCAAAGATCAAAGTTTAAAACAGATGTTCCAGTCCTTCCTCATTCCTTTTACTCAAGCACACGATACCACAGAATGTCTACCTGCTGCTGATAAATACTTCAGCTGAGCTCTGGCCTGTGTACATGTGAGTGTGCAGCCTTCCTGTACTGTAGCCTTAGCAGAAAGGTATGTCCTGGCAATTTGATAACCATGAAGTCAAGTAGGACAAGCTGAGTTATTAGTTAGCTGTAATGAAACGGTCATCTGGTTACTTAATCATTCCTTTTAAATTAAAGTAAGCAATGTTAAGGATTTTCTTTTTTAAAGAAATGTTTTTGCAAATGGCAGTTTCACCTCTCCTTTTTTTTTCATTGCCTATGTGGGAAAACTAGCACATTTATTTAAGGATAAACTGGGAAGTCTGTGGTTTCCAGCACGCACATTTTGAATAATATTTATACAGACTATTATTTAATAGGCCATATAAATATTTATCATATGCTGTAGCCTTTTGATCATAAATGCTTGTTTAAAAAGCCATTCTGTCCCTGCTGAGATTTGCAAAGAAGGAGGCCATTGCTGTTTTAGTGCTTGAAGGGAATTTTAGTTTCTTGTCCTGTCTTAGCAGTTATAGCCATGGACTAGCACAGTCAAGCTGTATATGTCTTTGAAAAATGTTTCTTTTTTTCTCCCGCTTTCTTTCTGTTTGCAAATGCAAATAATAAGTTGTAATTCTGCAATGGACAGGCAAAGCTCCAGTGAAGTTTTGGAGGCTTTTTTTCCTGGCTGCAAGAAGCCAGGCTTCCTGAGCTAGACACTTAATGGGTGTAGAAGGTATTATAGTGGTATTATCACCATTGCTCTCTGCCAGTTGGGAAGTCCATGAAGATTCATCATCTATGCACCAAATATTTTGATGTCTTATTAGGAATATTGTGCATGAGGAATTGACCTGTCTGACTGGACCTTTGGGACTTACTTAAATGATTTTTCTGGTTTGCTGTTCTCCTCGTGATTGTATTGACTGCAGAAGCTGTATGCTGAGTCCAGTAGATAGAAAATTCAAACCAAAGTTTTATTTGCACAACAAAGTTCTCTTTGCACAGGGCAATGATCATTGGTGACCAGATTCCAAAGCAAGAAGCTTGTGGTGGGACCCTCAACCTCTGAATTCCATTAAAGAATTTCTTAATTTCTCATTTGGAGCTTCCTTTTGTACCAAAGGAATTGTGTGTAAACAAAGCTGAATGACAGCTTTTGTCTTCAAATTCTTACTTGGCTAAATATACCACTTTCACTGTTGAGTTCACATTCTCAAGAGGTACCTTTAGGTGGAGTTCTTATTTGGTGACACTTACGACCTAGAGATGACAGTGCTTTGTGTGGATTTGGTTGACAAGTAGGTGGCTTACCAAGTGATTGATATTTCAGAAGAATCTGGTGCATTAAATGAGGTTTTTGCAAGCAGATGAGATCCCATTGCAGAGATGCTATACTTTGAACAGCCTCAGTAACTTCATGCCTGCTGTGCTTGAAAAAAGCTTAATATTTACTTTTAGCCTTTTTTTTGTAATTTTTTTTTTTTTTCCCAAGATATCGAAGTATTTGCATTGTAAATATGGGTGAGAGTTACTGACAAAAAGAGTAGTTTAAGTAGGTTTATCATTCTTGGTTTTGGACTCTTACCACTAAATTCTTTCTTGCTAGTTTTCCATGGATATACAGAATTAAAATAGTGGATCTGCTTAGACTGAAATGTAGTGCTGGAGCATATAAACAAACTCTGTTTCCTGCCCAGTCACTCACACATGCATGTCCTGGTTGCTTAGTAAGGAAAAAAAGGAAAGTAAACATTACATGGGCAGATTGGGTTCCAGGTTTCAAATGTTTGTGGGAAGAATCCAATGCAAAGCCATAATTTTAAGTGCTGAGTAGGAGGTACTATGAGCTTAATTTTCTAACATCTGTTAAGCTTGTTCTCCAAGTAGCAAAAACACGTTAATGAGCTAAAATCAAGACTGCCATACAGGGAAGAGAAATAAAAATTTAGAGTAATATTGTGTATGTGAGAAGGAGGCAGAATGTAAAATGCACCTCTTGCTTTTTGTATTTTGTGAAAAGCAAGTAAGAAAGATTTGCCTTTGTTTATGAAAAAGAAATAAATCTGCTTTGCAGCTTGTGGTTTATTCTCTTCTTTCTATGAGTCAGCAACTAAAGGCAGTGCCGAAACAGGGAAAACCAGGGAAATTTGTGAGATAGTACCAGAAACAGTCTTACGCAATTTCTTTATAGTAAAATTTCTTGCAAGTAGCTAGCAGCATCTGCAGCCAGATTTTTAAACTTTGAGGAGCTGGAGTGCAAAATTAAAAAGTGAACAGCATCTTTGGAAAAGCATGTTTTAAAACTGCTTTTACAGCCAAAGGCTAAGAGGAAGATGCAGAATGCTCTAAGTATCCCCAATGGACAGATGCAGTGTTAATCACTGGTATCAGGATAGTTGTCCTGTCTGTGACTTTTGTTAGTCAGACCAGGTTATAGAGCCAGGACCAAGAAAAGAAAGTGAAGGGCGTTTCTTGCCAGTATTCCTAGGTATTAGACTCCTGGCTCATGGCTTGAACATATATATGACCCTGCGTAACAAGGTTAATGTGTATTGCACCTAATCTACAGGGCAGAATAAGTATGCTGGAAAGCAATAGCCACTACGTCCATCAGTACTGCAATATACTCTGTGACTCTGTGAGTTTTTCATTGTTAGAAGCCAGTGATGTGCTCAACTTGCTCCAGTGCAGCTGCCGTGGCGCATGCAGAGTGGTTTGTCCAACGCTGCTCAGGTGCTTGAGAGATGGGCAGAACCCCCTCATGCTGATGCTGGCCAAATGAAGAAAATGGTCCCTCATCCCCAGCAGTGGTAGTTGAAGCATGAAGTGACAGATTCAGGCATTACAAAATGTGGCAGGTTGTGGTAACCAGTCTCCACAGACTAAGTACATTTCCGTGAACCATTTAAGGGGCAGGATGAGGGGAAGCTGGATAGTTTTCTTTAGCTGAGGTGTTATGCTAAATGCAAATGAAACATTGTCCAAATTCAGCTATTACACTGCTTAATTATTATTCAGGTTGATGCTTAGAGTTCTCTGTGTTAGGAGACTGACTTCCCTCCCCCCCCCTTTTTATCTTTATTTCACCTGCTGCCTTTAACCCTCAGTGGTAATAGACTTGTAATAGCTACGAACAGCAGTGATTACAAGGCAACCATAGATGGGGACAGCCACTTATATTGTGCCAACACTACATTCAAACTGACACTCAATGTTAGATACTGACCTACACTTCAGATGTTTGAGGCACGGGGAGGAAGGCTTGCTTTTCTGTCTTGTAGAAACAAAACAAGTAACAAGCATTGCTTCCAAACTTCAGTACAATTTCTGTGGCTATATGATCAGCTATTAATGTCTGAAGGTAGAAAGAGGATTTTTACCGTTTGCTGTTCCCCTGCTTTTTCTACCAGGCATTTGGTGTACTTTGGCACTAAACTGTAGTTACAAATGAAAAGGATTAATTGGAAATGTGAATAATCATATTGTTCTGCCAAGCAATACTTCCCAAATATTCCCCCCTTTGCCCAATGCCCTTCCCTCTAACCAGCCCATTTTCCATATACAGAAATAATCCAGGTCACTTCTTCAGGAGAGATTGGCTGTTTTTAAGCAGAGCCATTTTGGTGCTCTGTAAATACTGTGTATTCATCAAATTATAATCGATCCTTTCATTTTCTGGAAATCAGAAGTTGTGTGTCAACTGAGTTTTGTGTGTTTCAGAGGTTAAATAGATTCATACAGGCACTAATCTTGGTACTCATCTGACATTTCAAATACTTTGTATCAGCTCTTACTTAGCATTCTTCTTGCTTGATTAAAATGTTTAACTATGAATTAAGGGCAAACTGTGAGAAGTTAGGTACATTGCATTTGTCACTGAATTAAATGTCAAATAGTTAAACATAATATAGTGACATAAGCGACTCATTGTGAATAATTAAATCAATTAATCTCACTTCGTTCTTGTAGATCATCAGAGAGTAGGCAGAGATTTCCTGGGATGCTCTCATAAGAAATTTTCAGTAAATTATTTTCTGAATCTTTAAAATTGTGTGGATTTATGCTGGGTAGTTTTTAAAAACCTAACCAATTTTAGTTTTATTTTTATTTTCCCACAACAGGTTTTATTCAAAATGCACAGTAAGAAGCAGGATCCAGTAAAATACTACGTTGGAATTGATGTTGGGTCAGCAAGTGTTCGTGCGGCTTTGGTAGATGAATTTGGGACAGTAGTGGCACATACAGAGCAGCCAATTCAAATCTGGGAGCCCCAAACAGACCACTACGAGCAATCCTCTGCTGACATTTGGGCTGCTTGCTGCTCAGTCACAAAGGTATGCAATGGAAAAGAAAATGAGGAAGATATGTGTTGCAAGTGACTCTTCAAGTTTTCAGAGTGTAAGACTTCTCGGTCCTTGGCCTGTAGCATGTAGTTGTGTGCAAGCTGTGTTACTGTGTGACTTGTAATCATCCTTGCGCATTAAAGGCATCTGGAGGATATGGCTGATATAGCCTCACAATGTCTGTTACTCAGTTGAGGAGCTGAAGGCCAGGGTGAAAAGAGCTTGTGCTATAGTTGAAAGTAAAATGCAAGGCCTTCCTTTATGCTGTTAGCTTAGGGGAAGGGCTTACTGCTGCCTTCAGGATTCACATCTGGGGATTTTGTTTTGCTGGTGTCCTATGGTTCTAGCCATAGGACAGTTCTTTGAGGAGTTGAGGTTGCTCAGAACCTGGTAATGCCTATATTTAAAGATGTGTGTTGTGCTGCACTGGAGTCACAAAGGAGCATTTATTACAGAGAAGTTGTAATCTGGTTTGGAGGTGCTGCCTAACATGATGTCTGTTGTCTGTGATCCGCATGAAGATGACTGTCCAGTATTATAATACCAAAATAAGTGATATGCATTTGTGGATTGTATCAAGCATAAAATCAGGTTGAAATAAACCTTTACAGTAAGGGAAAATTTGTAATTTCTGGTCCAAAAATATGCCTGTACATGCTGGTGGTAAATTAGTGACCTTGCTTGGCAGCGCACGTGTAGGCCATTTCATCCTTCTCAGTAAAGCCCCAGCCTGCTCCATGTTTTAAGGTTGGCTTTTGAAATATTCATTATATGCTTGGTAATTTGCAGATGGACAGTTCACCCTTTCTGTTGTTATTGATCAGCCTTTTCAAACATTAATGAGCTTGGGTCTGCAGAAAAGTCCTGATATGAAGGAGACGAGGGTGAGGGGGAAGGAAGGAAGGAAAAGAAGGGAATGTCAGGAGTGATAGGGAAGAACAGCTTGATGATAAAGCAGCACAAGCCTTTTGTTCTACTTACTTGACTTATCTCTTTGTGAATTGCTTTGTTCTTGCTCTGGGCTTCTTAAAATACAATTTCTTATATGAAAGCAATAAAATAGGGTCTCTGAAACTACATTTTTACGGAGCCAGTAAGAGACTGGCACTGTAGCAAGTGTAGTGAAAATCTTTCGTTATAGTACTAATTAAAAGAATGATATTTTTATTGTTGCTGAGAAGTGACAATTTATTACTGCATTACATTTTAGGTGTCTTGCAACCTCACTTGGCACCTAATCCATGTGGGTGTTATGTTTTAATTCCCAGTGCTGCTGGAAGCCTGAAGTTCAGGCCTTTTGGGGGGGTGATGTTGATTATTTTTTTTTTTTTTTAAATCTTCCCAAAAGTTTGCTGTTCAAACTCTTGGTAGCAGAGCTTTTGGAAAGGTGTGCATTGCAGAGGTATTATCACTGCTATGGGTTTTGACAAACTTTATTTTTTGAACGCTTCACTATTGCAAGACAAAAAAGGTGTGGCACAATATTACCAATGCAATTCTAGAAAATCACTGCTTGCACAGGTGGAATTGGAGTGAAGTAACTGATGGAAGCACTTGGCCCTAATTCTGTGTCCATGTTTCATGTGCACCTCAACTTCAGGCTTTTAGAAAAACATTACCAGTTCTCTGCTACCTTTATTTTCTGATATTTTTGTGCTTCCTCCTTCCATCCAGGGCTGGGACTAAGATTAAAAAGCTGTTAAAGTACTTTTCATGAACCTTTGAATCAGTTGTGAAAACGTAAGAATTTTTTGTAATTTGGCATTTTTTTAATTAGAGATATTAAAGAATACTGAATCTCAAACATTTTTTGTTTGAGCTTGCATTTCTAACTTGTTACTCGTTTTCAATACTCTAGTTTACATGGTACTTGCATATATATAGATAGGTTTGGATTCATCTGTGTTTTGTATCTTTGCAGAAAGTTGTCCATGGAATAGATGCCAGCCAGATTCGAGGGGTTGGTTTTGATGCTACATGTTCCCTTGTTGTTGTGGATAAACAGTTCCAACCTTTGGCAGTCAACTGTGAAGGTAGGACTCCAGCACAAAAAATGGTGTTAAATGTGCATGTTTTGCCACTGATGTGAGTGAACTTACAATTACATCCAAATGCCAGGTTGTGGGAGTGACTCTTGGAGATATAGGTGACAGAAAATATTTTTAGAAGATTTTTTTTGTTGTGCTGTTTTAGTTCTATTGCAAAATTAAATGTGAGATGAGAATTCTTAGTGTTTGGCATTCCAAGATCAAATCCATTCATCTTGGCTCAGAGAGACTGCTTCTTAGAGAAATCTAGACTCATTTTTCTTTTCTGCCTGCTATCTCTTCCTTTAGACTTTACTAATCACCGCTTTTATAGTGTGTATAAATGCTCATCCACACTAGCTAAAGGAATGTTAAAAATGCAGTGTTATTATAGTCTAACTGCATACTCTGTCATGAAGCTGCAGGCAAGAGGTTCAGCTTGTGTATTTTATTACACTGGTGTTCTTTCTTTGTCTAGGACAGTACTAAACTTCAGAACATTCTGTAACCTTTTTCTAAAAAAATTAATATTTTATTAATTTTTGAGTAGATGATTCAGAAGACTCAAGAAATCTGTGATGCACGTTTTTTAAGCAAATCCCATTTAAGATTATGTGTGAGCAAAATAAGTAGTTACAGAGCCATAATCATAATTCTGTTGATGTTCCATTTCTATTCTCAGATGTATTTGTCACCTCCTTCTGTCCTTCTCAAAAAAACCAGCTTTGCCCCCAAAATGTCCTTCACTAAATTTAGATTTTTCAGTTTGAGAGTTTCTTACAATCGTTTCACTGCTTAATGATGTCGGGGGCTATTTTGGTCTACTGAGTCAAATTCAGCTCTCATTTTTTATTCCCTAGCACCCCCAAGAACTTTTAGGTTACACAGAGTTGTTGTTAAGTAAAAAACCAAGAATGCACTGATGACTATCGCACTGGCATGGGCATGCAATGGTCTGCTTTCAGGCAGCCTCAGAGTTCTAAGTTATATTTGAATCTGTTTTTTAAATCCATAATCCAATTAATCCAATTAATTTGAATGCATAATTTGAATCCAGAAATATTGGTATGCCTTACGCTTCTGCCTTGTCTTGGAGTATGTTTTCAAGATTATGCGTGGGTGGCCAGGTCATGAAGTTGACTGCTCAGTGTCCCTAGCAAGAGAAGAATCTGAAGTGCCACCTGGGTTGCTGTTCTATCTCTCTAGCAGGTCCTCTGTAGGTTAATGTTCATAAAATGGTCTTTGCTTCATGTTTTCATGTGTTATGCAGACTTGCCAAAAGCTTTTTTACTTCCACATCCAAAATAATAGCATTTCAGCAAATGATCCCCCTGAAACTGTTTTTGAAAGGAATTAGGGTAGTTCTTCTCATATCAATAGAAGGAGAAGGGGAATTCCTCTAACTAGATAGTTGACAAGTTGAGTTAATTTCAGTTTAAAATGTAATTTCACAGATTTTGTCACATTTTTAGTTCTTAGTCACTAAAATGCTTCTTTTTATTTTTAACTAGATATGCGTATTTTGTCAAGAATTGTGGGTTCTTTGAATGAAATATAGTTTACAAGAGTATGGTGTTTCAAAGTTCTTGGATGCTCACAAGCCTGTTGGGTTTCAGTCAGCATTTTTGGTGCTTAACATGTCTTAATGTTGCCTCAGAGAGCTAGAATTTTATCTTTAGATATCTGCTGTGGATTATTAATGTAAATAGAATTTAAATGAAGATGTGAAAGTGTGAAGCAGCTTAGAGTCTAGTAGCTTACAGTTCTGAGTTGGGGTTAAACCAAACCTAAAATAATATCTTTTTTATTTTTTTTCCCCAAGGGCAAAACTATAGGAATGTTATTATGTGGATGGACCATCGTGCAGTCAGTCAAGTTGAGCGCATCAACGCAACGCAACATCGGGTTTTGAGCTATGTGGGGGGAGTGATGTCTGTGGAAATGCAGCCACCTAAATTGCTGTGGCTAAAGGAAGTAAGTACATCTAAGATTGTGGTGAATTTTTGTTGATGATTAATGTCCTTTGATAGTTTCTGGGAAGGAAATTTCTAAAACAAAAATCTTCAGCATTAGCACTGAACCCAAAGGTTCAAAGTAGGGCCAGCCTTAAGTTGTGATGAAAATGTTGTGTGTTTCTTTTTTTACACTCGATTATTTAGAAATATCTTTGATTTTACTGAAATGTAGTGTTTCTCAAATGAAAAAGTTCATGTGCCTTTCTTATTTAATTTTAAGTTTTGAGATATATCCATATTTCCTGGTAACGAATGAGTCCTCAGAGTATCCTGCTCCAATTACTGAAGCTGGGCATGCTTGCAGGGGCATAGGGTCTACTTCTGGACTGGATTTATAGCAATTTGAAAGCAGCACCATCTCAGTGTTGGGTATCCTGGCCAGAGGTGCTGCCTTTGAGGCCTTGCATCCAACAGCAAAGGGCTGTGTGATGTCTTTGGTTACTGGTGGAGAAACTCATCAGTTGGAGCCTCAGTTTAGTTTTGTCCCATCTGTAGGAAGTAGACTGTCTGCGGAGGGAGGGTGCTCTGTTTATAATGTGGAACTCTGCTTCTGTCTCTTGTGTTTACATTTTTTGTCTCACAGGATGACATAAGGCCTTTTAATAACTGTCAGACAAACGGAGAAATGCTTGCCACTTGAATTTTATGACCTACTCCAATCTGGCCTTTACATTTGGTCTCAATGATACTTGCTGTCATTTTAGCAAAATTAAAATATAAGTTACTTGCTGCCAGTTTGAAACAGCTGAAGTCTCCTGTCCTTAGAAACATGGAACATCATATGGTAACAAGGTGCAGACTGGGGAAAGTCAAGGGAATCATCTGGTAGAAGCAGGTACCAACAGATTAATGATAATAGAGGGTAGTTAATGTTGTCTGTAGATGCTATACTGAAATATCCATCCACTGGTTCTTTCCTTCTTGAGCTATGAGTATCATATGTCAGTCATTTTATAAATAATAAAAAGTGAAGCTGTAATAGCCTTAAATTAATCCATTATGTTTAAAAAGTTTTTTGTATTGCAAGCTCTGGAATATCAGTACCTGGCTGATCAGGAAAGGCCAGATTACGGGATCTCCAAATGTGATCACCCAGAGACGTAAGTCTAGGCAATGGCCTCCAAGGCCTCTGATGCAATTGTTGCAGTATAAAGGGCAGAGCAAGTATTTCAGGGCTGGTTGCATCTGTGAGCTAATGGATAGGAAATAGAATTCACCTTAGCCAGCATGCCAGGCAGTAGCAGAGCTTACCTGGCAGAAGAAGGGTATTACAGAACAGGGTTTGTTCATATGCCCCTTTCAGCTCCTGACGTACCAGCTCAAGAGATTATTATTCTTAAGAGAGGGATTTTTTCCCTCAGTATCTGCTGAGCTGCTCACGCGACACTTGCTGCATCCTGAGTGGACTAGCAAAGACATCCAGTTAACCTGCTTATGCTTACCCTGCTTAACTCGGAGACCTTAAACAACATCTACGGTGGCACCTCAGCAAGGTCATGAGAAGGAACAATAACAGCTATTATGGAGGTGATTGTAATCAGTTGAGCTGTGGGCAGGTAGTGTTAAACTTCTTAGTGTTGGAGAGGTATGTGATCAAGTGTTTTGCTTGCTGATTCTATACTTGTTGCAAAGTAGGAGGGTGAAAGGAATTGACTGTTTATTTTCAGTAGCAACCACAGTAGTGTAGCTATGGATGACGTGACACTTGGGGCTATCAGCAAAGGTTCCTGTTAGCCTCTGACAGCTGAAATTCAGCCTCCTGTAATACAAGTGTTCTCGCTTTTTCCCAAGGAAGGCAAATTTTACAATAACTTTGAATGTCATGTTCTCCAAATGAGAGCTAAAACACCAGTTTGCACATCTGTTACTACTCAGTGGAGTGTCTACAAATAATAAATTACTTAAGTCTCTTCAGATTCTCTGTTATTAATATTTTATAGATGAATAAACTATGACACACTATTCATTTGGTGCATAAGCATCATGCTTCCAGAAAGATTTTGATTAGAAAGGTTGATGTGGCTGCAACACATAAAATGCATAGATATTTTAAAAACAAAACAAAAAATACTAACATAGACTTTGTACAGTCATGCTCCGGGTCACTAGATACATCCTAATAAATGAAGATTCACTGTTGACTTTTGCCTTTAATTTCCTGGAACGTTTTTGAACTTGCCAGGTATTTAATGTTTCTGCTATTAGATGTTATTGATCTTTTCCCCCGTATAACTGTGATTGGTGCTGTGCATATTTGGTATCTGCTTGCATTGATCTAGGTTTTGCAGAGAGGGCACGGGGGAAAAATAACTGCCTTGTATCTGAAGTTACATTGAAATAACCAGGTACTAGTAATTAAGAATCATTTATAGATCCATTGAAATAACCAGTAGAATTAACTTTTGTATAATTGGGAAAGTGTTTGATACTTCTAATCTATACCTCGTGTATTTGTAACAGTAAACAACATGCAGTTGGAAGAACCTTAAAATGAGTCCTAATTAAGCATCTTCCTTCAAGTGGTTCCTCAGTTGTTTGGAACTCTTAATGTTGTTTTCTTGAGCTTCAAAGTTTATTTAGGCTGGTGTAAATACACCAGTTTATTATTGAGTTTATTACCTGACTGATAAATATTCAGATGTTCCCTTGGCTCTTCTGTGCTCCATGTTCATGGAGTCGGTTGTAAGAAACAACAGTCTTGCTAATACAAGATAAAGTTTGCAAATGTGTCTGTAAACTAAATTAATCTGTTAAGAGTCATTTAGGAGACTAACCAGAGGCACTTTTGGAAGTTACTTAAGATGTTGATAATAAATGACCCTTTGAACTGTTATTAAACCTGGAGGTTAATTGTGTGTACATGGCCATGAAAGCCTCCCTCTCCCTTTCCACAGAGCTAACTTGACTGTGGGAGGCCACACCAGGAGATCCTGTCTTCTTACTGTTTGCCCTGGGCTCTGCTAACTGTAGTATCTGAAAACTTGACCTTTGTGAGAAAAGGTCTGATTCAGCAGCATTTCTAAGCATCAAGTGATTACACTGTCGCTCAAAGAAAGGAACTTGATTTCTATTACTTGAAGAATTTCCATCTAAGCAATTAAAAATATTGATAAAGACTATGACTTAGCAAATTTACTCTGAATTAGTTGGAACTAATGTGGAGGGGAGGAGCAGGGGGAGAGGGCTAAGGTGACCTAACTGTGCTTTTCTATTCCCATCATTACCTTGTTACTAGAATTGAAGATGACCTCACTGACTGTGAGGGATGAGATGACGTAATTATACAAGAAGTACATACTGATCCTTATCTCCTGTTTCTTTACTGTTACACTTGTGTTTATTTGCAGAGGGATGTTGCAGTTTTTCTTCCAAGTCACAAGTTACTCTCACAGTTGCTTTTTCAATTCTTTCCCATATAGTGCTTTCTCTTGAAGATTTCATCTCCTTACATTCCTGCAGTACACAGAACAGAGATTTAACTTGAGACTAGAGACTTTGAGGCATGTTCTGTTCTTCCAACTCTTCATCTCTATTCCATTTTACTTTGTAATTAAGAAGCTAAACTATGAAGGCCATAAGAGGTCTTTTGAGATCTTTTTACTTTCAGTTTAGGTTGATTGCCTCTGAATCAGTTTACCTTCGAGTACCACAGTTAGTCTACATGAAATTAATTGGGTGGTCTTGATGTTTGTGATTGCAGATAGGTGTTCAGATGAGAAAGCCATCACTGCAACTGTAGTTTACATGTCGAGGACAGCTGTTTGCAGTAAATGATCAACTGAATGCAGCTACTGTATAGCCTCTGGGGCAGTCTTGTTAAAGTGTGCACATCTGTGGTCCACTTATGAGGAGCATTGTATTTCTCTGCCTGTGTGGACTGCATGTGGTGATAAAGAGTCCACTGTTAAATCTGTAATGGAAAACAAAATGAATATGATTATGTGATTATTTTTTTTAAGAATAAATTTATCTGGATTCAGTCACATTTGGCTTTTGAATGTGGTCAGCTGAATTAGCAACACTGACTGTAAATTAAATTGAAATAAAGAATCATCCTCCTTTCACAAATATTTAGAAACTAGCTGAAAGATAACTCTGACAAAGTCTTCCTGAAGTCAATAAGGTAAGTTCGAATATAAACTTCAGTGAAGAGGAAAACAGTCCGTGGTTATTTGGTCTTTCAAAAGAACCAATGAAATTCACTCCTGTTGCTGTTATTTCCTCTGATTTCTTCATTGTTTATAATAATCTTGCAAAACATTATTGCATTAGTTCTTTACTGCTGTAGCTGCAGGTATATTTTTTGCAGCTTTGCTAAGCAGGTTGTGCTGTTTTCTTGACTTTGGCTAAAGAAATTGCTTGTTCACTGACTGAACGAGTGTGTAGATGGTTCTGGCGGGTAGGTGTGTGCATGTGAACTGAAAATGTAGGTACATACACTCCTTCACTTGGAAATAATTTTGGTGCAAATGTTTGTCAGTACAGCGTGACTGTACAGATGTCTGTGCTCTGGCAAACCATCAGCACAGCAGTGAGAGCACAGCTTAAGCACAGTAATGTGAAACTGCAATGAAGGTCTGTCCAGCCCTAGAATTAGTCTGTTAGCATATTTTTCCCAGAGGTAGCAAAAGAAGAAATCTCATTTACTAATTTCTGGCTGGAAATTTTATTGTGGCTTGTGCCAAAATGAAAGGATGCTTGTTATGTTTTCCTCATACTAATGACATTACAAATCAGCTATTTCTAAAAAATATTAGTCCTATGAAATCAGAGATGCTGTAGCTTATACGAAATGGGTGGGGGATGTTGGACTGGGAGCAGCTATTAGCTTGGTAACTGTCTCCAAATGAAGTGCAGCCTTCCTACAGTCTGCTTTCACAACTCTATGTTTAATATGGAGCATAAGAGCAAAGAAGAGCATCCTTTTAGCAAAAAAAAATATAATTAAATATTACAGACCAAATGGCTAGCATATAATTCCTTTGCAATTAATAAATAAAATAATAGGTTTTGAGTAATGATTTTTTTCTCTATCTTACTGTTCACATCTTCAGTTACAGCTGCCTTTTTATTTATCATTGCTCTTCTTGTACACCCACGTCTTGCAGTGACCAATGGGATAATTTGCAGAAACAATTAAAACATCTCTGCCCTGGCAATGGAGGGAAGAAGAATAGCAGATATACTGGCATTAGTTTGGTAACAGCTTCTTTGTTGATGTATGTCTTCTCCTGTGCTTGCTGCCTTTGCAGCTGGCTTTTTGTTTTGCTGATTGTGACTGGTAAGATTTTGCCATTAAAATAAATAATCAACTCCATGTTAAGTAAGAATTAGTCTAAGTTGCTGGCTTTGGAACTGAACTCTTGATTAGAATTGCTTTAAATGCCTTTTTAACAGCTCTGTGGTATCAAAATCCATACGTAGTGAAGATATGTAGGCGTAAACTGTACTTTGGACTATTGAGTTTGGCTTTTAGTTACAACATACAGGCAGATGTTTCTTCTTGCCTTGTTACAGCTTCTGCCAGCTCAGCCTGTAATGTGCTTGGTCTGTCCCTCTGGAGCCCTTTCTTATCTGGACTCTGATGCTTGTCTGATTTGTGGTGCTCTGCTCAGGATACCTCAGGGATTTGAAAATACTTGCATGTGTCCAAGACAGTGTCTTGGTGGTAGAGACAGTGTGTTGCAGCAGGGAAGTTTTCTCCACCTTCAGCAGTAGCCTTACCCTTGAAAGTTTGCTTTCCAAGTCCCTCTCCTCCCCTCAGCCCCAGTTCCAGCCTCAAGATGAATGTGATAATTCAGTTGGTTAATTTTTTACCTGTTAATTTGAGTGCAACTGGTAGCTGCAAAATCAGTCAGTTTGCAGCCTTAGCTCTCTGGCAAGGACAGCATTTCTGCTCAGAGCCTATGCTGGATACCTCAGAAGAACTCTGTCTCACGACTTGGCATCCTATCTAAAGTGTGGGAGATCCAAGTTCTAAGATCTTGCTTTGTATTGAAGTAGGGCGTGGACCGTGGATTTCTTGATACCCATGAGTATGGGCATTAAGTCTCCAGTTGTTCTCTTTCTTCCTTTCACACAGTATGTATTTGTTTTCTGCAATTCAGAAAAAGAGAGACTGATACTCTGCATAGCCTACTGTTACAGACAGCCTGGGAGACTGAGGTTGAGGTTTAGGGTTGAACTGGGAAAAGCAGATGTTTTTTTAGTGAATGAATCTCTTTTCAGATTTTCAGGTGACTTAGATTTTGACCCGATGCTGAACTTGAATGTTTATACCAGCTTTCTTTTTTCCCTAAATGGCATAACATTTTTCTGCTACCATCTGCCCCTCCTGGTTTTAATCTAGATTTGTAACACACGACTTTGGGATGATTTTTGAATTTGTGGGTTTTGGCTGATAAATAGCCATGAAATTTAGACTGGTACCCTGTGCTAAATCAGATGTCTTACTTCTAGTCCATCTTTAGTTAATCCTGTGGCCAAAAGGGATCTGATAGGAAGGCTGACTATAATGATGTTTAAGATAATTTGATTCATATTAAAACTGTATTAGCAATAAAAAAGTCAAGATGTAATTGATGTTTATAAACACACTTCTGGTGGAAAAAAATACGTTTTCAAAAACATTAGATGTCTGAAGATCACTTCATCTTTAGAGAAAAATAACTCAGTAATAGAAGAAATCAAAGATTTCCTGTACAGAAACAGACTACCTCAGCAAACCAGTAAAATATGAATGTGAAAGCTCTTTCCCAAGGAGTATTTGCCTGCAGGTGTCTGTGAAAACTTGTATTGGATGCTGGAGCTCAAGTGAAATTCTGCATGTGTGTGTGTTTTCAGTCCAATTAAGAAGTCAACAAATAAATTGAACACAATACAAAATTGTGCGGTATGGTTTCATGATAATCTCTTGACTTGATACTCTGTATCAGTTCTTCCATCTCTCACTCTCCTAGACCCATCCTGTCTGGCAAGATTAAAAGACATTGTACTTCATAGTTCTTAAAACTCTTTGCCCTTGTGTATTTGGGATTATCTGTAAGAATCTAAAAAAATTATTGCTTGGGGGGTATAGTTGTTAAAAAACCCCAAAACAGCCAGAGAGAGGTGAAGAAAGGGGACTCCCTAAGCACCCCTGGCAAATAGAAGGGTTGAATTAGTTTCTTTACAAGTGAGTTTGATGGGTGTGTCCCAGGATATGAATACAGCGTTGGGAACGTTCCCGGATCTTTTCCACTATCCTTTTAATGTGGTCACGGATTCCTGACTGTGAGTGAAAATACATTAGAATTAGCTTCAGCAAGTGTCAAAAACATGGAGACTTTTGAATTTGTTTGAAAAACTCATCAGGCCACACTATGATTTTTTTTGTCCATACTAATTAGTGATGACAGAGCATCAAGATGGCAAAGAATGAATCATTTGGATGTTCATGAAACAACGTATTTTAGTGTCACTAACATGTGGGTTTGGGGAATTCTGAAAATAATAGAATAAGGGTGCAAGGAGTATCTTTGATGAGACAGGGTTGTTTGTAGTGGACAGCTATTCTTAATCCACTTCCTTACTGATTAACACTAATAGCCGAACTGTTGACAAACTTTATGCTATTGAGACTCTCTTAGTGTTGAATACTTTTGCATATCTAGCAAATCCTCCACTTCTGGAATCTTGTACAAGAATCTTGACCTGAATTTATGGAGACTAGGTAGAAAAGGTGGGGTTTGAAAGCTAAAAGACAGGTAGGCAAATAAATAATCCCTCAGATTTCTTGTGTAGAGATGAAGACTCCCATAGTTTCCTGTCTCATGTGTTTCTGAAGTATCTATCCAGCTCTGCCTTAGCCTGCTAGATGCAACTGTTGATCTAACTTGGGTTCTTGTTGAAGCTCTGCCATCTGGCAGGGCTCCATGCTTAAAAGACCCCAGCTAGGATTTGCATTTCTAGTACAACAGCTGCTCTTAAGTGAGACAATTTTGTACTGTTTCAACCATTTAAAAAGTTGGTGGCGGATTTTGAAGTAATCTTGCCTTCCTGTGGATGTCTGATTTGTGAACCTTGGCAGCATTGACTTGTTTGGTTTTGATATTCTTTATTTATATTAATGTACTGAGGCCATTGGATGGTATTATTGTATTGCAGGAAAGTGATGCTCACTCTTTATATCACACTGGAATACAGCATTACTCCTGGGGAAACTTTCTTCCCATTCATCACTGTCTGATTCCTGCAGCAAGTGTGGAGATTGTTTTTGTGGAAAGGAAGTTTTGAGAATATGCATTGCTATTGCAAGCTGGAATCAGACTGAGCTTTGGAGATAGAAACAAAGAATGAGTGGCCTCTTCCCATAGAGTTCTTGCTTTCTGGACCGCTAGGTTAGTCCAAAATATAGTGCTGGAAACTCTTTGCAAGTGGTCCATCTTGGTAGATGAAGTTTCTATGAGTTTGGAAATGCCATATGGTTATCAGGAGCTTGCAAGTATCATACTCTTGGAGGACTTTCTTGTAACTGTGTTCATTTACTCCCTGAGCTGAAGAAGTAACATTGATCCTCTTCAGATGGAAACTTAGACACTTACACTACTTTGTGTATTGCTACACCTTTCAAGGAAATTATGCAGAGAGGTAGAGTCTGCTAAGAAAATCTTAGGCTAATTATTCATGTGAATTCATGTGCATGCTGTGATGGCAACTGCAGGGTCATAGAGTGCATTTAAAGCTGATTTTTACTGGTTAATCCTGGCAGTTGAGAGCTCCCGAATGCCTCAGCTGTGGTAAAAATGTTCACTGATATCTTGCAGGTTCTTACAGGCTTCAATCGTATTTCAGTTATTTTGAAATAGATTCTAAAGCTTTGTGCTTCTGCTCACAGATCTGTTTATTTTCTTCCTGTACTTAAAAAAATATTACATTTTAAATGGTTAATTTTAGAAAGTAGGGCATTCTTCAGCAAATATTTTTTGAGGAAGTTGTCTATTGACTTTGAGGCTGCTCTGGCATTGAGCAGCTGATGGGGAACTGAGAGAGCCCACATTGATCTGAAACATGTGCCTTGGTGAAGTCTTAATGAGAAACTCTTATGATCAGTCTGTGGTGGGGGACAAGCTCAGTTCTTCATTCAGTAAATCATGCTCAAGTGATTAGAGCAGATTGCATGATCAGAATTTGAGTTTGGAAAGATTGTCAGTTTTGCATGAATGTCAGGTTTTAAACTGCATTAAAATAAGGATGTGATCATGTCTGGCCTCTAATATCTGCCATTCTTAACCTTCTTTGTCAGAACTTGCAAGAATCATGCTGGGAGAAGGCAGGGTGCTTCTTTGATCTTCCAGATTTCTTATCTTGGAAAGCCACAGGTGTCACTGCAAGGTATGTTCATTATAACGGTATGATATGATAGTCTTTGTGTATTTTCCTATGTATGTTTCTGCTTTACTTAGTCTTAACTGCACATGCTGTTATGTACATCTGTCTGTAATTCAGCTTGCTCCAAAACATCTTGAACTTATCTCCTTTTTGCATTGTGCATTCCTGAACACAGTTGTTCCTGTGGCTGTTGTAATTCGCAGATACAGAATGTTGCTACAACTGTCAGCTAGTTGGTCTTGTACACCATTTTAGAACATAAATATGATTGCTCTAGTTCCTGTGAAATATGCTTCATGTAATTCTTTGAAATCTGGTTTTGTTGGCAAATTTATTGACATTTTTGAGAACTGGAAGAAAACACTTTGCCATGTGGGGAAGGATCAGTTAAAATCTTGAGGAAGGGTAGGTGTTTTCATGGGTGTGTTGTTAGTGCCCAGCACAATAAGACCCTAATTTCTTTTGGAAACTTCTGTCACAGTAAATATAACTAATAGCACTGAAAGAGCAAACAGAACTTAGGAACTAGTGATTGTATTCTCTAGTGCTCATCTAGCCTCTCCAGGAGTACAGTGTGAATTCTTGAGATTAAAATCTTCATCCTCCTCTGCAACCTTTGGATGCAACCAAAATGTGTGGTAGGAGGTTTGAAAGGAAGTTAGCAGGGGCTATACGGAGACTTAGAATATGATAAAAGAGTTCTTGTCTACTGTCCCTTCTGGGTGCCTTAATTTAGGGGGCAGTGTTATTTGTGGGTGTGGGGAAGGGAGGGGAAGGATGGACTAAGAGTAATGCTGTGGAATTAGTGTAATGGTGCTTTCAAATGATGTCAGGCTGTCATGGCTTGTAGTGGACTTTTGACTGTCTAAAGACCGCGAAGGTCAGGTTTTGTTTTGGAAGACGGTCTGAAAAGGAAGGGTATGGCTGTAACAATAGCTCCTTGGTCCTGCCTGGCTTTGGCTTTGTGTTCTAAGCTGTCATTTTCTGGAGGTGAGGCAGGGAGTCTCCCTTAAAAGAAAAAAAAAAAAAAAAAAGAAAAAGAGCTGCAGAAGAGTAGTCAGAAGTAGACCTGGCTACATTTTTGCTGGCAGGTTCATTTCCATAGAAATGTCATTTTGATTATTCAGAAAATTTTGATTGTATTGAACAATGTTGTAAGAAAGAAAGGGATGTTGGGAAAAGACTTTTTGGACAAAGATTGAGAGCCCTTTGATTGAGAGTCTTCTATTTTGGATAAAATAGTTCCTTGTACATCCTTCTGTGCTATCTTAATGTTCTCCCCGAACTTAAGCCCATTGTTTTGGCTCTATTGGAATGTCTGATAGGGTAACAAAGGAGAAAGAAAAATAACGACAAGAAGTGTTTCATTGGAATCAAACCTATTTTTTTTCCCTTCCTCTCCCCTGTGCATACCTGTTTTTTTTTGGAATTTCCTTGTATTTTGGTGTATTTTGTATTTTGGTAAAATAATTTGTCCTGCATATGTTCATGATACTGTGGAAGTGTGAATTTATCAAGTATAAGATTCTTACCACCTTTTCTCCCTTTGAGTGCAAAGGATCCTATTCACAGGACAAGACACAGTGTTAGTCATTGTGAATCATCCATAACTTGACCCTGGTAAAAGAAAGATTTAATTTTTTAAAAATTTGTTACGGTGATGGGATTTTACCAAAATAAATGCAATTCCAAGGGCACTTTTATAGGAAAGGCTTCTACGCACATTGAAACTGTTAGTCTGGGTTCTTGACATTTTTAAGGAGCACTTTAAAACATTTTGTATGTATTTAACATTTAAAAACTATGTGTTGTCTTTTTTGCCTTCAGTGACATTACTCAGTGCACAAAGTGAAGTAGTGTGTGAGATCAGGATTTGAAGTATTTGAAAAGCAGTTCTTGATATCTTTCTGAGTATGAATTTGATTGTCTTTCACCTTTCATTCTGCTGAGTTGAACTGCCTTGTTGCCGGGGTTTCTCCAGTGGATGCTTAATAAACACTTAATGCTTCTTACCTGAAAGGTGGAGACTCAAATATTTTCTGAGGTTTTTACCTACTGTCTGATATTGGTGTATATCCCACCTAACAGCATTCACCCATCAGTTGCAAATTGTTGATTTCCATTGTTCTGGAAACATTGTTGCCTGTAATATTCCAAATTAAAAATAGTTGGTATTAATTATTTCTTCTTTGCGTTCACAAAAGATCATTCAGTTATTCTGAATGATCCAGGCAGCTGCCTATTCTGCATTAAAAAATGTTACTGAACAGCTCTTTAGTTAAAAAAACTTTGGAACTATCCCATTCCTGCCCCAAAAGGTTCCAACAGTGAGTATTGGTTTTGCCACTTGAACACTTAGTTGCCTTAATTCAGAAATGCTGCTGTGGAGAGGAAGAGAGAGTTGCTTTTCACAGACACATCAGCAGTGCTTTTCAGGGGCTCAGCACTTTACTCATGGTGAGCATGACTCATTGCTCTCTTCCACCCACGACCTATAACTTCTGATAACTTTTCCTTTATATGGTATTTTGGATAAAGCTCTCTTAATAAAATCTAATAATCCATCTGGTTTAGTTACAGACTACTATATTATGGATGGAGAATTCTTATCACAGTTTCACATCTGCAATTTCATTGTATTTCTGAAGCCTTGTGAAGGATTACATTTCAGATAAGAATATGGCTGAGCTGTTAAATTGGGTAGAATTCACACAAATTTCTCCATGGTTGTGTATATTTAGATCCAGCTTTCTGCTTCAGCACTACTTTCAATCATAAGCAACTCACTTACTGGAAAATTAGTTAGACTTTACTGGACCTACATGGCTTAAGATGAGTTGTTACCAAAGAGAGATTAAACCTGTGGAGGAGGATTTGGAAACATAGGGAAGAATGTCAGGTTGACATTATTGAGGGAGAGAGTGTCTAACATCATGCTATAAGCCACATCCTAAAATTGCAAAAAAAAAGAACACACAAAAAAGAAACAAACAGAATATTTTTTCATCTGTTGCACTCAATATATGTTCTTAGTTGGATAAAATAATGTGTTATCTAGTAGAAAATTCATATAATTTAAGAATGTTAACCCAAATAATTTTTCTATGGAAATACTTGTGCAGTCAGTCTTCAGCTGCTAGCCATCACGACAGGCAAAGGGTGTATGAGAGATGTTTCGTGTACTTTTGGGGGAACTTTTGTAAATTCTCTCCTTCCAACAGAACTCGGGGTCACAAGTTTCTCTAGAGAAAATCAGTTTTGTAAGAAAGAAATTCATATTGTTACGATAATTACAGGCTGCAAAATGAAACAAAAATCCTTGTAGTTCATAAAAAGTATTTCCAGGAGCAACACAACGAGTATTAGTCTATGTCTGTGTGTGATATCTTTTTAATATATGCTGTGTATTTTCATCAGGAAGATACAGTAACAATTTTTTTTTTCTCTCATGAGAAAAAGGCTCCTTGGCTTGTGCCTTTTTTAATAGCTGACTCTTTATGTTAAGCAGTGATTAAGTCCTTAAAGTTTATTTCTAACCCATTCCCAGTTGTTTGTACTTAAGGGTAGAGATGGCTCTGTTGTAGTCTTTTAAATCCAGATAACTCCTTGGATGTTAGCAGGGTTGATGCAGAGATCCCTGGGATAAATGGAAGCAGAGGCTGGACCATTGCTGAGCTGCAGTGATGGAAGTTTGTAATAAAATCCTAAAGCTAAGAAGGTGCTTTTGAATCCAAGAATCTGAATTCAAGTCTCTGTTATGTCCCCTGTGTGATTTGGGGGAGTGAATTAAATTTACATCTTGGGAGGTGTAGGCACCTGACCACTTTTGAGGACTTGATTCTTGTTCATTGCCATGTTTGCTCTTCATCTGTTAACCTGGTAGATCAGCACACTCTTCTGAGGTTGCTTACTTCTATCACTGTGAGGTATTTCATCTCCGTGGTTAGTGGAGTCCTCACCAAATATTTCATCCAGATAGACTGGAGACTTTGAAAAGAGAGACAGTTTGGAAGAGGAGATTATGTTTAGAGGCACTGTTGAAAAAACAAACTGGTGTGAGTTAAGTGATTATCTGAAGGATGCCTGTGTCCTTTTAAAGGATTGGGCAATCCTTTTAGTGAGATGTGGTAACTGGGCAGCACAGACACCAGTTTTTGGGGCCAGCTGCCCTTCCCTTCCTTCCTGGCCTTTCCATGACTAATGTATACCCCTTGGCCTGGGATTCTGGTGTTTGGCTGCTGCTTGTTTATGTTTTGCGCCTACTTCAGGAGATGCCTGGTCTAAAAACTAGGCTTCTCTCTGGAAAGAAAGGGGCTAGAGAATATATTTCAGAAAGGTTTTGTGATTAGCACTGCAGCCCGTGTAGTAGTGACAGTGTCTTGAATTGCATTCTTGTTTTCTGTCCTGCTTATGAAATGAAACTCAAGACTTCAGATTTGCAGACTTGTTTGGAGAAATCTCTGGAGAAGGGAGAATTATCTTGAAGGGCTGGTTGGGAGGGGAGGGATGGTGTTTTTGTGGATTGGACAAACAAAGTGCCATGAATTTCATGTTGTGGAGCCAAAAACAAGTGTCCCTGTGATGGTGTCTTTGCCAAATGAGAGAATTCCACTTCTATCAGGCTTTTAATAAATTCACAACATGTTCTTTGCAGATGGGTGACACACAGGCTGATCCAGTGTAAGAAAATAGGAAGCTTATAGCTGGAAAAGTTATCAGAACTGTGAAGGGCAGGTGCAATGTGGGCCGTTGCTGTTCAATTATTATTTTTTTTAATTTAAAAACTCTGTGTCCTTGAGTCTACAGAGAAATCTGAAAGAATTCTGTGTGCTAATAAAATTGTTAGCAGGTCTTGTTAACGTTAGCCAGGAAGCACACAGGCAAACAGGAAGCTTCAGCTATTGTTATTGTACAAATGCCCTTTACAAAATATTAGCAAAAGAAGCTTAATGTGTTTTCCACAAGAACAGGAGCCCTTCATAGTGTCTAACTGTATCTGCCCA